CTGTCTGGCGAGCGCACGCGCCCTACAGTGAAAATCTCTCCAAAAAAAAAAAAAATGTCCTCATGGGAAAAAAGTCCATTTTATTTTGTCTCTTAAATTTACTTGGTAGTTTAGTATTGCCTTTATTTTTAACTTCATCTGGGGGCACCATAAAGGCACTTTTCGGTGCTTAGATCAACAAAGGTCTTAATGGAGCCTTGTTTTCTTTCTAGATAATCCCATCCCTCAGTCACCCTTCCTCACGGGTGCCCATCCGCCTCTATACAGATGTCACCTGGGTATCTACCAACCTCACCTGCTTCTCCACCACCACTTTCCCCCCCCCGGGGCCCTTTGTCCCCATGCCAGGAGGTCTCTTACCTGTGTGTTGCCCCCAGTATCCACTAGTAGGCTGGTGGTGGCCAGTGTGGCTGAGTGGGGAAAGCAGGAGAACAGGGAGGAGATGAGGTTGGAGACACCATGTGCCAAGAGCTCCTGCAGGGATGCAGTAGGATGAGGGGGGCGCAGAGGCATGGGGCAGCATCAGATTAGAGGGTTGTCTTCTGCATGAGTTTGGGGCCCACAGTCAGAGCCACACCTGATTGGAGTCAATAGTGTAGTTAAACTTGTCTGCATAGATGGAGGCCAGGGAGGTGGACACAGCAAAAGTAACCAGGGCGATGGGCAGCAAGTCCGCCAGAATCCTGGGCAGCTCGGCCAGCGTGGGGAGGAGGGGTCGAGGAAATCTGCAGAAGGAAGGATCCATAGTGAGGGTGGGTTGAGTGCTGCAGGGGGGTAGGGAAGGCAGAGAAAGCGGGGTGGGCAGGATAAGAGGAGGCTGGGTGAGAGTAGAGAAAGCTGGGGTTTTTTCATCTCTTACCCTCCAGGCAACAGCCCCACTATCTGGACATTGTATCTTGTGTCCAGGGAAGAAGTGAAGCAAAGGACGGAGGCCAGAAGCACCTGTGAGAGGGAGGAGCAGGGCAAGGGTGGAGGGAGGGCCCCTGGTGGAGGCTGGATGGGGTTCCCCTTGAAAGAGAAACAGAATGCAGGACTAGGTGGTGGCAGGAGCCCAGCAACGGAGGGAACTGGGACTGTGTTTGTGATGGCCGCCTGACAACTGGCTTAGCGCAGGGGTGTGCGCATGGGAAAGAAGAATGACGTGTGCTGGGGGCTGTGGTGAGAGAGGGGCAGGAGGAAGAGGGAGCCCAGAGATGAACGGAGCCGTTCTCAGCAGGGAAGCTGGACTGTGTCTAGGGCTGTATGTGGTGTCTGTGGAGACGTGGAACACTGATGTAGTCGCGGAGAGAGAAACGTAGGGGTGGGAGTGGGAAAGGGAGATCACCGTGAACTTCAGTGAAGGACCTGGTGGACAGGTATGAGAAGAGGTGCCGTGGCCAGCGCGATCGCAAGGGGGCGCTGGAGGGAGGAAGACGGCATCTAAGAGGTCTAGAGGGGGCTGGTGAGAGAAGCGGACCGTGTGGGTGGAGGTTTCTGAAGGGTCTGAATGCTCCGGCAGGAGGCCAGGGAAACACGTGTGAGCGGGACCTCTAGTCGGTGACCTCCGCTTTCCACCAGGGGGCGGCAGCGGCTACAGGATGGGTAAGGCTGTGGCGGACGCGGGCGGGGAGGGGACCCGGGCATCCTCACCATGACAACCTCCCCTGGGATGGGAGTAGGCAGCCGGTCTCGGAATCTCACGTTCAATTCCTTGACCGGCACGAGCAGCGCCAGGCTGAGCGCCGAGATGGTCAGTTCGGCTGGACTGCTCCTGGGCAGCGCCGTCAGCACGGCGGCCAGCGTCTGCGGGGGGCGGTGGGCAGAAGGCCCCGTGCCAGGGTTGACTGCCCCCAGCACGGAGCCGCCAGACCCGCTGCCATCAGGGCTCCCACCTCCGCAGCTCACGCATTCAGCTCACGTGCTTCTAACCTCCTTTCCTTCGCCCAGACACACAACTAACTACCCTCCACCCCCGTCCTGTCCTTCCTCCCTTTCTGAGTTTCCCTATTCCCCGACCGCTAGAAGCATCTTCTAGGCTGTCCCTTCACCCCCACCTTGAAGAGAGAGAAGCAGCCGATCTGGCGCGGGAGAGACAACCCCAAAAGGCTCGGCAGTTGGGACACGACCACGTGCAACGCGGCCCCGCTGGTCAGCGCCTTGACCACAGGCTCCGACAAAAAGGTGGACAGGACGCCGAGCTGCAGCGCGAACATTCCCAGCTGCGGGGGAGATGAGCGATCACCACCCGAAGGAGGAGCAGACCCGCCACGCGCAGAGCGCACAGCCGCGCCCTCGCGCCCCCGCGCCCCCGCCCACGCTCAGGAGCTTTCCTCCTGCTCCCCGACCCTCCAGGGCCTTCCCCTGATGCTCCCTCACCATTAGTGCCCCACTCCCAAAGGCCAAGGCCGAGGCTGCCCCAATCCGCTGAGCATCCAACTGCTCCCTCTCGATTCCACTCAGGTTCCTCCCGAAGGGCTCGGGCACTAGCCGCTCAACCACGGAGCCGGTCATGAGGCTGAGTACGGCAAAAGTTCCTGGAACCAGGGGACAAATGCAGAGATCACCAGCTGTGCCGCCGCGGGTCAGGGAGGCACCTGTCAGACCTAGAAGGCTGACGCCCCTGTGAAGACCGTGGTCAGGAGCCGGCCCGCAGCCGGGAGCCTTGGGAAGGCTGAAAGAAGTGCACACAGCTGGTAAAACCTCTCCCTCCTGCAGACTGCTCCCGGGACTGCCTGCTCTTGTTGGGCAGGGGGGATCTCCTTCCCCTTTTAAGTCCCAGAGATAGATACTCATTTAACCAAATTTCCCACGGAGGAAAAAGTCTAAGCCACCCTCCTCCTCTTTGCACCCACTCCAGCAAGCACTGATTCAGTCCGTTTTCTTTCCTTTTCTTTCGGTTTTTGCCATAGGGTGTGTGCCCTCCAGAGAAAGAGAAAAGGAGAGTGAGAAATCAATTTCCCCCTCCCCAGGAAGGATGGCCATGCAATAATCTTTTCTCTTCCATTCTCCTCTTGGGATTTTGGGCACACACACACACAGGCCCAGCATGAGTTTCAAGTCATCAAGAGTTTCAAGCCACCAGGTCTAGGACTTGAACCGTGGTTGGCCATGTGGAAGTCCAGTGCCTTAACCATCATGCCACACCTGCTGGCCCTGCTTAGGTCAGTTTTCTAGCAGGACCTCACAAGAAAGGGAAAGGAAGGTGGGAGAGATGTAGAGGGG